ATTTTACACCTGATATTATGACTATCACTGTGAGCTAAAGTCATCCAGAAATTCCTTGGGAGTTACTAGATACACTTGTTTGACATCGTCATTCTTAGAAGAGGTTCGGCCAGTTTACTAGAGGCAGGAATTCACAGGAGAATAAATGTCTAATAGATGAGGACAGTAGCAGTGATTACAGCAGTTTAGGATTCTTTTTAGCCATTAGTGAGTTTCGTTTATCTTAAATTTCTCATCTGCAAATCCCTGAGGACTTTACTACTGATAAAAAATAACCTGCATGTTCATTTGTGGAAGCAATTTTACATTACTTTTTAGTTAAGGAGATCTATGCATGATTATTATTTGATGCATGTCTGCACCCAAAACAAAATGATGCAAAGAATATGGTTACAGGTATATTATTTACAGACCTAAACCCGCAGTGGTCCTTAGTTTGATGCGCTCTATAAATGGGACAAAAATGCACATTTTTATTTCCTTTTTTTTTTCTTTAGTATACTTGTGAACCTGAATCAAAACATTATTTGTTGATTTTGACTTTCAGCTGATTAAAATCAGTATCTGTGTTTTCATGCCTCATAAGTCACATCTATCTTCTTTATGTGCAGCTTCAGGAGGATGAACTCAGAGATGCTGTTTTGCTGGTATTTGCCAATAAACAGGACCTTCCCAACGCCTTAACAGTCAGTGAATTGGCAGACAGACTTGGCTTGCACGGCCTTCGCAGCAGAACTGTGAGTAACTTGAATAAAACAAAAATCTTACCGCGCTCGCTGTTGAATTGCGGACCTTGTTGGGATGCAAAACTTCCCATCCTGACAGTCAGGTGTGCTTCGTCTCCACAGTGGCACATCGAGTCCACCTGCGCCACCCAGGGCACCGGGCTGTATGAAGGACTGGACTGGCTGTCCAAAGAGCTGTCGAAGAACTAATGAAGGATGGACTAGAGGGCAGACTGAGACTGATCATCACAAGACATAAAGGAAAAACATGAACATTCAATCCAGAACCAGTTTGTTTTATAGCACCAGTGTTTACAGAAAGAACCAGGCTGTTGGACGGTTAGCTCAGCTATAACACCTTCAGTGTTGTGCTCCTTGTTCTTCATGTTAAGTAATGCTCCTTTTTTGTGTAGTCTCTACTTTTTGCACTCTTGCATTTACATTTCCTGTTTTATGGTGAAAAAGTGATTTCGTTTAAAGATTTCAGAAAACAATATGCATTCATAAATTTGGGATCTTTGGTAAAAGTCAAATGGTAGACCCTCCCCCACAAGCTGATAATCACCATACCCTCTGTTGTAATTGTATTTCAAGAAGCTTGATTTATTTTTGTTTTATGGATCTTTTGTACTTCCATGACTGCTTTTTTTTCTCTGTAGTTTCTGTGGCTTGATAATCTAAAATGATTTGCTTATAGTACAGAACTTAAAAGGAACAGGATCGCCTTCTTGTCCTCTTTTGGCACAAACTCCAGTTATTCATTTCCTTATAGCATTATTATTAAAGCTCTTCCTGTTGATCCATTTATGTCTTCATGCTTTTCAAAGATAAAGCTATGAAACAGTCTGCTTTGTGTTGCATTACATGCTGTATTTCAGCAGAACCACACCACTGTGAGTATAGACTGTCCTACAAATTGTCTTCCTGATAAATCTGGATTTAAACATGTTTAATTATCTGAGTTTATATCTGTGTGCTTTATTTTGTGTTTAAAAACCAGCAAAAGGCTTTCTGATGTCTAACAAAGCAGTTTCAGTCAGAAGGAGGAAGGAAGTGTTGGTAACACAGGACCTGGGGCAATGAAACACAATGAAGTTCCAAATAGTTTTCCCCTTTTTTAATTCAGTAACCCACAATGTTGACTTTAATTTACTATGTAACAAACACTGTAAAGTATTAATTACTTCCCCTTCTTTTAAATAAAACACATACGGACCTATCATTTTCTTAGTGTACATTCCAGCTTTGAGATATTCACTATGTGTCTAAAAAAGCTCTGAATAAAGCCACTGTTACAATAACCTGTTCAGTCTTTTTAATGATTATACTCTTTTGTTAGTTCCTGAAAGAGGAATTTCAGTGTCTTCGTAAAATGACGTTTGTTACTGGAAGGCTCTCTGAATAAAGATCATGTTCTTTCTGATGCTTACACTCATTTTCAACCCAAATTTCCTTTCATCACTTCTGCCCTAAATCATTTCTTCCTCTTGAAATTATTTTAACTGTTAACGACACTAAAAGTAATATGAAGATTTTAAATTAGCGCAGCCTTTGTTCTGACCCGAATCTGTGGCGGGAGATAAAGATGAGGGTCATGGAAAGAGGCCCTCCAACTTCAGATTTTGAGTTGATCAAACTATGTAAAAAAAATCAACAGTTTTTGTACCAATTACTAGGGGGCTAAAAATTTTTTAAATATTAATGTTCAAATTAAATCCTTTTATTAAGTCTATAATTTTGTTCTGCCCTATTTCATATCAGGAATAAACTTTTTGTTTACTGAGCATATTTTAAGTCCTAAAACTGATAAGAAAAAATATTGGGCATTGCTGTACTTTTTGAATAATTTCACATCAAAATATAAGTGAATAATGAGATTTCTATTTCAAAGAGATCATATCTCTTGACATGCAGACGTATCGTTTTTTTATACTTTCTATTAAAATTCATAAAACCTTTTATAAAATTAAAAATAAAATCAAAACATGAAGCTGAAATAAATAGAAAGCACTACATTCAAGCTTTTATTGAAACAGGTGAAATTTTATTTGAAAGTGATAAAAAAAACTTAAAATTTAATTAAACAGATTATTTTCACATTCATAAAACCAATGGTTGTTCATACATATGTATACCATAGCTAAAAACTGTAAATGTGAATAAAAAAAAATCTCAAGTATCCTTTAAAGGGGAAATGTCCCAGCTAAACCACTCTTACTCCCGTGGAATCGGTTGTTTTAAGTTGTTTTTCTGCTGCATAACACACCTGTTGTTACACATACATGATTTTGCTTTGTAATTTCACAGAAGTCTTGTTTGTGTCTATAAAATTCCTTAGAGATTAACATGAAAATGCATGCCTGTTTGTTTCCAATGGATGAGCTGAACTATATATAT